TAAAAAAAGTTATAAATTAATAATCAAATATGATGTTGATAATAATAAGTGGAAAGTTTCATTTACTGAACTGTTTGCCTCGAGAACTTCTTTTCTTTAGTTTGGTTGTTTTAATTACGTGTTTTTGTTTTTCTAAATCTACTTAATGGTGTCGGTGATATGCATTCCAATCACCAATTCCAATCCAAATGTTATTTTGACTTTAAATGTAGCTATTTTAGACTTTAATGTATAATTTATTCCTTTCTTTTTTTTTAGTGGTTTTGTTTTTATGAAGCAGTTTTTTATATTTGTTAGAAATGTTTTTATTTACCACTTTTTATAAGCTAATCATATTTCTTAAAATAACTAAACACGAACTAAGTTTCTGCTTTTTGTCATTGAGAAGTTTGTTTTTATATATGCGAAAGTACTTGTCATCTTCACCAAATGAATTATTGGGATTTGGGACCATCTCGCTAAAATCTGATTGAAACAATAAAGATAAAAATAGGTTACGCATCTCACATTATACAATAAATGAGAACAAAATCTTCACAAAACAACCGAGGGGATAATAACAACCACTTATCGCAACCGAAATTTATAACCGTAGGTATTAGATAGATGCGCTGGATTGCGAATTTACGATGCGAGACATTTTCAAAGATGATTAGTTTATTAGATTCTGTAGCAGAGTTAACTAATATAAAATAATATATTTTACATGGATTATGGACACATTCATGCTATTCCGGGCGGTAACCGACAGATAACCGAGCAACAAACGAACAACGCTCAGAAAAAAACTTGGTCTCGCCTCGGCCCCGCCACGGCCCGTTGCATGAACACAGCGCCAGCGCGGTGTCTGAAGTATCACTACGATTGCCGGGCAATCGTATTATTACTTCAGACAAAAAAAAAACGATTTTGCTCGGACGAGTACTTAAACCCTATTTACTTTATCTGTATGAGTAGACTGCATCACGGCACAACGGTACCTACCTAAATGCTCGGTCGAGGCACGTCTTTGTAAATTGCAGGTGCGTTACCGGCTCGATGACCGTGCTACGGCTGAAGCTCGGCTGGGACTCGACGCAGTCTAGCGTGACTGATCATCCTTAATAGATTTGTTAGGTACCAAAATCTAGTTGGTACCTATATTTGCATTTAATTTTAGAAGTGGTGGCTTTCCCCAACCATTTGCCAAAAAAATACTTAGAGCATGCTCTAAGAGTTCTCCCCGCAGATTTAATTTCCCCGAGTTCATATTTTTCCCCAAAATAAGGATAAATACTCCCAATCTAGAAACCCTAAGTACCACAGAGTAGGCAAGTATTCACTATAACACTAATGTGATTAAATGACAGATTTAAAAACTCATACTCATTAGTCAACACGTTAAGTGTGTAATACTTGTTGAACCAATAAACACCAATAAAAGAAATCGGCAATATTGTTAAAGTAAATAATTTATGTTTTAAATTTTGTGCCTTAAATCGTATTACAAAATACTTTAATAGAATACTGTCTACCTTTAAACATTGTATAGGTAATAAATATTTATTAGCCATGAATAAATAATCGTTAACAAATATAAAAAAAGTAACTTCATGCTTAAACGACAAAAACCAATAATAATTTGCTGTGATTTTTACATAATACATTCTTGGATCACATAAACATAAATCATCTTGGTGCTCATTACTTGATAATATGGAAATGAAAAAATTAAATGTGTTTGTTATCAAAATATCCCCTACTAGAAATACCGCTGACCGATTGTAATTGTGACTGCAATTGTGTATAATAAAGGTGAGAGAGTAACTTACATGATATAAAACGTTTTTCTCGATAATCACTATAGTCACAACTTTGATGCACAAACCAAACACAAGTCTACACTTCGCATAAAGTGAGTTACATAACAGAAAATACCCTTTTATAAATATAATTTCGTTATAAATGAAAAATAAGTAATTTAAAAGGAATATTTCACTAACAAATAACAAACGGGTAGCTGCACATACGATTGCTCGGATGGGCGCAAGTTTAAAATACAGAGCAGGTTGCATGACAGAGGTTGTGCGCGAGATACGCGCAAAACATGCGATACACATTTAAATAGAAAGAAATTTGCTTATCTGATTTACTTTTTAATTTTCTGTAAATCGCCATGGCAACGCACGGGGAAGGCTGGTGAAGTTTCGTTTTGACGGGCAAGGATAGTTCCATTTTTAATCCATATAAATTTGCATCCGCAATCTTTTGCAGCAGTCTTGGCTTCGCGAAACAACTTCTTCGTTTTCAACGTAAGATGTTCATTGACGTAAATGTTTCGCGACGTTCCCGATAAGTTTAGCTGGGATGTGTTCACACCCTTTGCCATTCTCACTGAGGCTAACACTTTATCACGTAAGACCCTGTTTGCTAACTTTAGGACAACATTCTTTGGCCATTTACTTTCAGCGCTGGCATGCGGTACACGATGGACAGCGATGATGTCTTGTTGACTGATTGGCTGTTTGACAAGTTTTCCGATTTCGAGCACTATGGCGGATAGATCTTCACCACGTTTTTCCGGCAGATTACATATTTCCAGATTACACTGGCGTGCCTGTTGGTCCATAATGTCCAATTTCATCTCCAATTCCGTGATACGCTGATTCTTGGTCTCGTCTGCTAACCTCTTTTCAAGAGTGTCGACGCGCTTGCTCAAATTATCCGTCTTTTTGTTCAGATCGTCATATTTCTCGCACATGAAGTTTAATGATTTCCTTATGTCATCGAATTCTTGGAGGAATTTATCATGTTTTGCGTCTTGCTTGGCAAACCAGGATTCCAATGTGGTCAAGATTGTGTCTTGAAAATTCTTGAAGTCGTTGCGGAGATCGCCATCTAATCTGTTGCGTTGTGTGACAAAGTTGGGAGGTGATTCTTGGTCCAATATGTTACTGATTTCACCCACACTCATGGCTTGTTCGTTATCAGGCTGCTGATTGAACGTGCTGTTTCGATTGTTCATCATGCGAAGAAAGCCTCTGACTTGAAACTACTCTGTGATGCACTAAGAACCACGTACAGAGCTAAAGCACTTAGGCGCGAGCGTGCGAAAGAGACCACGGCGCGCGGACGACTTGACGGAAATCTGTACCTACCTAAATGCTCGGTCGAGGCACGTCTTTGTAAATTGCAGGTGCGTTACCGGCTCGATGACCGTGCTACGGCTGAAGCTCGGCTGGGACTCGACGCAGTCTAGCGTGACTGATCATCCTTAATAGATTTGTTAGGTACCAAAATCTAGTTGGTACCTATATTTGCATTTAATTTTAGAAGTGGTGGCTTTCCCCAACCATTTGCCAAAAAAAAATACTTAGAGCATGCTCTAAGAGTTCTCCCCGCAGATTTAATTTCCCCGAGTTCATATTTTTCCCCAAAATAAGGATAAATACTCCCAATCTAGAAACCCTAAGTACCACAGAGTAGGCAAGTATTCACTCTTTACTGATTCATAATTTCTCATACAGTGAAATAAGCTTATGTTAAGTTTCCATATTTCAAAGATGATGAAGAACAACAAAGAATTACTGAAATAAGTCAAAATCACTGAATAATAAGTATTTATTGCTATTTTGAGTAAACCGATAATTACCGGTTCAATGCGTTTACCATATCTGTGAATTCAATTTACATGATCGTTTGCAGCTGTCAACTGTGATCTTAATTTAGTTAGTTCGCAATAGGCTAGTTTACTCATGTCGAATTGTATTAAATAAATGTTTATTTCTTAAGTATTTGGCCTAAGGAACCTAAATATATCGATTTCACTTCATAAAAGCAGAAGATTGCTGTAGAAATTTAATTTTAAAAAATATTTTTTAGTCTATATTTTTTAAACACTAAAAACGCTGTTCGCCACGTCCGCCATGATTTTGACGTCTCTTGTGGTAAACGACTAAAAGTCATTCGCGTGTTATTGTAGGTGGATTCTTTCGTCTGACTAAATTTATCTTAAAACACTTTTAACTTTAGGAAAGAAATAAACAGTAAACTTAGTTTTTTTTGACAAAACCAATTATGGTTGCCGGCTTTGTGAAAGCGGAAAGCACAAATCTGGCAAGAATTGATGCATTGATGGTTGGTGAATTTGTTGCACTAAACCCCGATTTCTGCTCTGCGGAGCAGAGAAACGACAAGGCATCTATGTAAGTACAGTGCATTTAGTAGTACAATGTAGTAATAAACATAAAACTCATACAACATAATGAATAAGTGTAATAAAGTTGCGTAGGTTAATTTCTTTCGGCACTTTAATCCACAACTTTCCTGGAGTCTTCAAGGATGTGTTTTTATATTCTCGTACAATACAGTAATGATAATTACTTTATTTTTCGTGGTATTTATTAGAAATCATGTTTTTTTTTATTATAAACTCAGTTTTAAGTAACTTTCTACGTGTTTACGAGTTTTTGTTTACCACAGTTCACGTCATAGCATAGATAATCTATAGACTAAAATGGCCGACAGCGTTTTTGTATGTCCATGAAAAGTCTATTTTAAAATTAAAGATTTGTAGCTTTCTAGGTTTAAAAAAATACAATACATTTTTTTCGGTCTAATAGAACATTTATTAACCATTTAAAACCTTTTTCCAAAAAGGGTCAACTAGCCTATTTCAGAATACCAATTTACTAAACCTAAACTAAAATTAGCACTCTAATTTTAAGTTTAGGTTTAGAGAATGTAACGCCAGAATTGATCCCAATGTATTTTTAGCTCTACACACTACGAGAAATCGTTACGATTAGTCTGTACCGTCCGAACGGTACCGATAAATCGTAGCGTGTATGTTATAAAACTGCACAGTTTCCTATACGTACGCCACTTACGATAAACTGTTCCGTTCGAACTGTACAGTCTGATCGTAACGATTTCTTGGAGTGTGTATGGCTACCATAAAATGTCTAGCAACTGGGCAATGCTATTATGCTAGTAGTTGGCAACACTGTCGGTTAGTCGCAGCCCGATACCTTCGACTCCAGTCGAATGATATTATCTCTAACTAGTCTGTGGATATAAAGTTCTATTGAGTTTTATCTTTGCCATTTTATTTTGAAAGGAAAACTGAAAATTTTACTTCACAGTTGAAGAGCGAAAAAAAATACCGGGCTAAACATGTTAACAAAAAATACAGTATCTTGGTTTTTGACTGACGCGGGACGGAAAGTTTCGTTTGTACTCGTAACCGGCACGGGTCTTGCATTAACTCTTGCCAAATTTGCTCCACATTCAGTGTTTTTGGATAAATATAAAAATTTCGCCCAGTATTACAGGTTTTATTTTTACATAATGAGTGATTTAAACTTAACCATTCCAGAAGCTATTTCAACCATTGCTTAACCTTGCAGTAATGGTACACCAGTGGATCTGTCTAAAGAAATTTTGGAGCGGTATCAATCCTGTTTGGATAAATTAAAATTGGCAGAAGTCCATAGGAAGCTTATTTCACCATTTAGTGTGTATGGCTATGATTTGTTCCATGCAGGTATGTTCAGTATTCTTTCAATCACGTAATGGAAAACATTTTGTAAATAGATCAATTTTCAAATTAAGATGGATTTGTATTGTAACCTTGGAAAATAAGCTTATTAATGTTATTAATATACCTAACATCAATAATTAAATATTATATTTTTATAATTATATAGGTATTTTTGGCAGATATTTAACTTTTTTGTAGGAAGTCTAAATTCCCGATTTGGTGCAGCTATTGGTATTCCAGTTAATTTTACTTACAAATCAATTGAAGATTTGGAAAAAGATCAGATCCAGGTATGAACTTAATTATGCAATAGAATACTTTCATTATAGTAATTTTTGTAATTTAAGGCTTATGATTATGATTTATTTAAAAACGAACTAAGTAAGTTTTTATTGTTTGTAGGTCAATCAGAAGGAAATTAAGTGGGCATCAGAAATTGGGCAAAAGTTAGCAAATGCATTAATATTACCTGAGAAAGTGCAACAGTTTGCAATATGTCGAGAAATATTAATGACCCAAAATAATAAATTTATGTATGAATCAGCATATCCGTTTGCATGTTTGTTTGCTGTCTATAATATGTCACAATACCTAAATAACAGACTCAATCTATATAAGGCACCTGTTTTTACTAGAATGACTCTATATTCAATTATAGGGTTGTTTGGATTAGGATCATATTTTTTAATTAAAGATATGACAGAAGTCAATTATGAAACGGAAGTTGACAAGAAACTATGTGAATTAGGTCCAGATTTTATTGAAAGTGGGGTAATATTTTATGACAAATTGCTTCAGAGAAATCAAGCATTAAGAGAACTAATGGGCAAGGAAGGTGAAAGGAAGTACAGTAAAATGGGAAATGAAAATTTCTTTATAAGACAACCTCGAATAGCACTCGTACACAGAAAAATGTATTTTGAAGAGCAACTTGAAAATATTCAAAAAAAGACTGAACAAAGGTATGAGTGAAATATAAAACAAATTTAGTGCAATTAAATAATTTTGAAGAAAACTAAATAAATAAAGTACTTCTAATTAAAAGAAATAGATAAAGCTTTTGGCTCTTTATTTTGTCTTTCATCAGTTTCATAAATATACTTTACCACTCACAATGTCAAATAAATTTAATAATGACCATAAAGATAAATTATGTGATATGTATGGCACTGGATGACACTTAAGCCAATGCTAATCTGTGATGGTCATATGTGACCATTGGTCACATATTTAATAAATTAACATGGGTAGATGCTTAAAAAGTCTCTTACATTTAAATCATAATTAAACTAGTTGTCATCTTATTATATGTAGTACAAAGGAACTTACATTTAACGTCGCTACAAATGGTCACTATAACCAAGGTCGTAATAAATGAAATCTTGTCTTGAAAGTATTTTTGGAAACAATTTCTAAGTGTGAATGAATGCTTTTAATGCAGTGAATATCCATTCATAGTTGATACTAGCCGTGCCCCGCGGTTTCACCCGCGTTTTCCTCGTTTCCGTGGAAATGCCGAGATAAAATATTGCCTATATTATAACCTCCCTCAATAAATGGACTATTGAATATTTAAACAGTTTTCATATCAGATCAGTATTTCCCGAGATTACCGGGTTCATAACAAACAACCAAACTTTTCAGCTTTATAATATTAAGAAAAATATAGATTAAGTTAAATTGTATAAGTCGCAGGCAATAGCTGTAGCTGGCAATAGTCTGTTCGACATTCAGCCGGACACATAAGAATCACGACTACAGGCGGGAGTGTCTCCTTAGCAGAGTTATTTTAGAAATGTATTTATTATACTCTTCAAAGATCTTATACTTACAATCATCAACAAATATATTATGAAAAAGATTATTACAGGATTTTATGTTGATAAAAAACTCTATGGCCCATAACTCATTAATAGAAACTAACTCTTAATTAAGAGCCCTTTTACAAAATTGCGCCTCTCTTGTTTAGGTAAACACGGGCGCGAGCGTGTCCGAGTCGCACGAGCGAGACATCGACGCGGCGATGTTCAGTATAGCGCGCTTTACCAAATTGATACTTTAATATGCAATTATTGATTATACAATAAATGCCATTATAAAATAAAGTTAATTTGAAGTGCTAAGATGGATCCCTACTGTAGCAACGAACGATTCTAGATAGGAATCCTGAGTGAAGCAAAGGATACAAGGATTAAGTTTTTTTACTATTGTGAGAAAATAAATAATATATTTATAGTACCCATTGGTTGTGTTTTGGAAATGACAATAAAGATTAATTATGATTATTACTAATTATTTTAACTTTATATGTATGCTTTGCATAACTTCTGTTTGTTCAAATTTTTTTCATTCACTCAGTAATTAAATGAAAAGTTTGTTCACTGTTATCGCTGAATGAAATCCCTTTTTCGAGTGGGAATGAGAAATAATATTTTATTTACTTGTGTTTTTAGTATTGACTTTTTTAATGATGATTGATGTTTGGTAATAATCAAATATCTCAGTAAAACTGTACTAAGTGTAGTTTTGTCTTTGCCTTCATAGTTCATTTAATAAACAGATTCTTTCGTTTTCTTTTTTTGACACAATGGTAAGCAGAAATTTTACGCCCCATTGTAAAAGCTAATAACAAAAATATTAGTTGAAGCAACGATAATTAATAACTAGGGAGGTACTTATAATAATAAAAATTAATACGGTTGTGGAAACTTACATACAGTCAACGATTAAAGTTTTGCGGTCGTAGTATATCCAGCCAGTTTTACGATGAATGCACTCGTAGCGTCGCTCGGGACGCGTGCGGCACAAAGCGACATAGGTCCGACCTCCAAAGGCGCTGGCGCCGTACTGAACGGCGCCTAGATTTGCACTAGTATATATTGCATTTTACGGGTGATATTCAGAGTCTTATAAAATAATAATTAATGAACTTATTATAAAAATATATACATATTTCAATAGTTCAATGATTGTAGATTAGTTTTATGAAAGTTTTTTATAGTAATTCTATTTAATTCAATATCAAAATACGAGGTAAATCTGCGTTATTTTTTGGGGAAACTCACGGAGGTTAGATGTTTTTTTAATAATTAATGAGATGGAAAATCAAGATTCTAATACATTATGTTGCAACAAAAACATATTTCTGATGTAGTAGTAATTAATTTGATCTAATTTATTGAACATTATTGTGAGATTTAGGCGTTTTAAGGTGTGCATATTATCGTTTTTTCCGTAAACTAGCTGCGGTTGATCGATCATTACAAAAAAATGAAAATAGTATTTGCAAATATTCTACATTAATTTTCAATAGGAAGAATAAATCTACTGTTTACTTCTATTGGAAGTAGTAAAAACCTCTTCAAAGGGGGCAAACGAGGCGCTCAAAAATTGCGATTTATTGCAAAAAATGTGAAAGGGCTCTTAACATCTTACACACGGGATAACTTCGAAAATTGAGATGAAACAAAAAGTATTTTACTTCTACATAAATACTCTTGATAACATAATGCTTAATTTCGATAAAGATTAATATTACCATACATATTTAACGTATTTTTTTTTCTTCAGACGATTTAATAATTATTTTGAAGACGAAATCGGTTATTGTGATTAAACCATGATAGCTAGATATATGTTCTCGCGGACTTTTTTGTAGGTCATAATGGGATCTACAAACCCGTAGTACATCATTTTGTTCTGTTGTCAATAGTTTTTGCAGCGCACGCAAAAATAGGTTTTCGATTTTACACCTTGTGTTACAAAATAGAAATTTTATTACGGATCCCTCATTTTGAAAAAAAAATAATATAGCCTTTAGCCTTCCTCGATAAATGGACTACCCAACACTGAAAGAATCATTCAAATCGGACCAGTACCTAGTTCCAGACATTAGCGCGTTCAAACAAACAAACTCTGCAGCTTTATAATATTAGTATAGATTGTGAAATAAAATTGGTGTGAATTTGTTTTACAACCATCTGCACAACTGAAAAATAGCAGAATCTATAAAATATACGCTATTCCGGTCAAGTTGACGTGAGAACTTCATTTTAATGTTGACTACCTCACAGAAACTTATCGGAAAAAACCAACTTTTTGTGCCAAACACTCCAAGAAATAACAGAATGCGTCACACCAACATTCTAATGTAAAAAAAAAGATTAAGACTGGTATTTATGTATACGACTGAAGGACTTGTATCCATGTTCATTCATAAACTAAAAAAAAGCAATAAATGTCCAATACATCCTGTTCTCCTTCGTTATCTTTATTGTAGTGTTGACTACCTCACAAAAGCTTGTCAAGAAAGCTGACTTGATAGATTTTGTGCCAAACACTCCAAGAAACATTACAATGCGTCACACCCACATTCTAATGTTAAGAAAGGAATATTAATACAAAGTAAGACGATGGCTGCATGGCTTTGCCTTTCCCAATAGGGAATATTATAACTAAAAAAAAATAGGAGTTTTTGGCGCAATGTCATCGAGTACGATTGGCGTTTCATTTTAATTATTCCTAAATTCGTTCAAAGTGGATATTGTGATATAAAATTGGTGTGATTTTGTGTGACAACCGTCTGCTCAACTGAAGAATTAGTGGAATCTTTAAAATATACGCTATTCCGGTCAAGTGGACATGTGAACTTTATTGTAGTGTTGACTACCTCACACAAGCTTATCGAAAAAGCCAACTCGAATCATTTCGCGCCGAACATTCTAAGAAACATTAAAATGAGTCATACCGGCATTCTAATGTAAAAAAGAAGAATAATATAACTTAAGATTAGGATGTATGGGCATTGTTCCCTTTGCCTTCCGTAAAAATAGAATTAAAAAAAATAGTAGGGATGCAACGATACTATCTAGGTATCGATACTGTATCGGTCATAAAGTATCGATTCCTACTAGGTAACTAATGAAAAGTATTGATAAATTTGACGAACGATAGAGAGTGAGTGACCGACCGAGTACCGATACAAGAACTTACTCCACGCTACTACTTGTTAAGCCAGGATTTACATACGCCAGCACTGCATATATGTAAACATTTTTTTCGCCAGTCCCGCGCTAGCACCAGCGCTGGCATAGAGTAGAACGAAGGCCTACTTTTCGTGCCAGTGCCCACACCCCGCATCCCCCGCGCCCCTTGCCAGCGTCAGTGGATCTTTTTAAACACGTTCACGCCAGTCGCTGGCGCCGCCGTTAAATGTCACCACGTGTTATTGATTTGCTGAAACTGTCGACAAGAAAATGTCTCGAAAGTGGGGTGATGATAACACATTACAATTTATACATTTATAAAGAAATGAGGAGTGTTTATGGGACATTCGTTCGCAGAATTGTAGAAATAAACAGATGCGAATAACCGCGCTAAAAAATATTTGCTCTTCGATGAATATGGAAAGGTTGACTATTGAAGAAGTGAAAGCTGTGACATTATTGAATATAATCTGTGTCATTATTGTTTCTATATTATAGTTATATAATCTGTGTGAGTTAATCTATGGTAATAAGTGTGAAATAAAAGACGGTGATGCTCTAAAAATAAATTGTTTAATTCACAAAGTTTAACATAATATGATATGGCGCAGTCGAATAATCAGAACCAGGGACTCGCTCCAACAACAAACAGGTCAGTCGGTATAAGGGCAGACACAACACCTAGTCTTGCCTTAACGCAACCTCCGCCATTATCATTTGAAGGGGACCTTGCAAAAAAATTTAAACATGGTTACGACAAGTAGAATTATACATGTGTGCAAATGATTGTCACAAAAAACCCTCAGACACAAAAGCGGCAATACTATTGCACCTACTTTTATTACAAAGGTGAAGAGGGTTTGGATAAATTTGAAACGTTTAACCTAACAGAACCAGAAAAAAGTGATTATGAGAAAGTTCTCACAGCCCTGAAAGAATATTGTCTTCCTAAAACTAATGAAACTATTAATCGTCACATATTCTTCGCTCGAAATCAAAAACAGGGAGAAAATTTCATTTATTACCTGTCAGAAATTAAAAAACTGGCTT